TAATGTTGGAAGTCCATGTTACCACTCTAGTTATTCAGTTGATCAATCTCTACTCATATTAGAATATCCAACATTTAGTGTATTATAATTTTTTCAAAATTTATTTAGAAATTACCTTAATTTTTAATTTTAGAGTTTTTTTTTTCTATCATTCAAATTTATGAAAAAAAAAAACATTTTAAATAAGTTGGTCAAGCTTTGCTAAACACACCTTAAAGTACCCTCCCTTACTGTAAACCTTTCTAATTTTCCAAGAAAAAACAATACTCCCTAGCCCCATGATTCGGATTACATGTGTGGATACTTGGCTCTTGACTCGTAGGCCAAGCTGCCATAAATTAACAGGGTGTGGAAGGAAAAAAAAAAAAAGTTGGAAAAAAAGAATCCAGGTAGAAGTAGAAGTGAAGTAAAATAAAAGTTGAAATGAACATTTAAAAAAAAACGAATTTGGCAAATTTACCCAATTAAGATTGTTGTCTATTGATCTTTTTGCCCACTTTGTCTGGTACAACAAACTTTAGACTTGAATTTGCTTAACACACCCTAAAGTAAATTAACAGGGTGTAGGAGGAAAAAAAATGTAAAGTTGGGAAAAAAATTCCGGGTAGAAATAGAGATGGAAAAAAATAAAGGTTGAACCCCCCAACTAGGTCCCTTAATTATTGTACACACTCTTTAATTGGTTTATATACTAAACAAAAAATTTTAATTATGTCCCTAAAATTTCTAAATTCGGTTTCAAATTGGTTGCTTCTTTAAAAAATAGTTGATATGTCCCATTACTAACATGGCATGTGATCATTAAGTAACGACATATTAGTTATTTTTTAATAGAGAGGCTAACTCAAAGCCAAAAATGAAAACTTTAGAGACTAAATCATGAACTTTTTTTAGTTTAGGAGCCCATTCAAGAGTTTATACAATAATTGAGGGACCCAATTAAAAATTTAATATAAAGTTGAAATGAAGTTAAAAAAAAAAAAGATTTGAATTTGACAAATTTACCCAATTAAGTTTATTGCCTATCGATCTTTTTACCAACTTTGTTTGGTACAACAAACTTTAGAATTGAATTTGCAAGCAAATGGTAAAACCTTAATCATTAATTCATCAGTAATGAATAATTAGCTTTTCAATTAATAAGAATTTAATTGAATTAGTATCTCTTAATTTAAATTTTTTGATTTAAAATTAAGATTAAATATTTAAACCTATAAGTTTGATGTTGAACATATAAAATATGGATCTAGAAGTATGATTAAAAGGTAAAAAAAAGTTCATCTCCGCTATGAATTTTGGTATGTGGTCCTGGGCATTCCATTTGGGCACAATATCTGCAAGAATCAAGATCTCCTTCATAATCAAAGGGTCGGCACAATCTAAGATTTTTCAGGGCTGGACCACATCACATAATTGACGCACCCACCCAATTCAGCGTAAAAATTCCATTAGAATGGAACACCATGTTTGTGTAGGTTAGGGAGGACACGTAAAACAACAATCAACAACTTGGAATGGCATTAGTCTTCTTGTCACTTGCGTTGCATATTACACCCCGCTAATTAACAAATCTGTACGTACCCATCTCCCCAAATATTTTCCTATCCTTATTTTATTCCTCTCTTTTTTCTTTTTTTCTTTTTTTTTTTTATGAACTATTTCTCCGATTTCTAAACATGGCAAAGATATAAAATCTTATTATAAAAAGTCATTAATTGAATAATTTGTTTAATTAATGTTCTTAAGGCACAACTTAAATGCATTAATTACACTATTTTCTCATTAATTCGCTTAAAAATACACAAAACTTAATTTCATTTTTAACACAAAATGACATTTGCTTAGTTTTAATTTAGTGGTTGTTTAAATTAAAATTAATTTTTATTTTTTTCATAATCATTAATAAATATGTACGTGCCTTAAATAACATGTTAATTAGAAACCCTTTGATTTAAAAAAAAAAAAATTCAGGTTAGGACATATCCTTGGTTGATTTAATTAGTTGTTATTAAATAATTAAAAAGCAAAATTTACCAACATCAAACTCTCAAAAAGAAAAGGAAAATTTATTAAATAATAGTTGGAGTCACGGCAAATTGGAGAGCATGAAATTGATTATCATTTAATAATCAATTAGATCATTAGCTTGACAAAATTCATGTTAAATAGTAGTACCTCTTTTTTAAATATTTTTAATCATTTTTAAAGATTTAGATATTCGATTTTTTTTTGAACATATTTTACAAGGGTTGAGTTTGAACCCCAGTCTGGGGAGGGGGAAATGCATCGTCGGTGGCTTTTGCCACTTGACTTGAAGGCTTCAATGCAAATATTAGATTTTTTAAACTTGTACTTAAAAAAGTACAAATTAAAAACATAGTTATTGTAAATTTTTATTATTGTCTTTTTTTTAATAAATTTGTAAAGAGTCAGATTCGAACCGTTGCTCACGGGAAAGAGGAATACCACTTTCCGTGTGGTGTGCAGTTACTATACCGTCGGCCCAAGTGCAAATTTTTATTATTGATTAACATATATAGAAAAATAAATATTAATCTTAATTTTATTAATTTGTTAGGTAAAAATATTTACATAACATGAGTATTAAAATTATTGTCATTATTTTTATTTTTCATGTAAAGTAATATATGAAATGTATATTTATTGTACTCAACCAATGCCTTAAGTTACAAATTAGGCAACTCCTTAAATATTTTGGTAATGATAAGATGATAATTTATTTCTATAATTTTTCTTAATATTTTTTTATATATTATTACATGAATAAATACATATTATAGATTTTAATAAAGTGAAAAGAGTATATTTTTAAATGATGTTCAAAATTATACTCTTTTAATCTTAAAATAATAATTATTTTTTATTTTTTTTCTTATTTAAAAATTTAAAAATAATATTTATATATGCCTATAATACTCTTAAAAAAGAAATATAAGATAGAGATACATTTTATGTGATTGAATGATTAATTAAAGTGATTGAATAATAATAAGATTAAAATAAAAAAAATAATTTATCTAAAAAAATAAAAAATAAAAAATAATTTAAAATAAATTTAAAATTAAAAACCACTATTATGAATAAAAAAATATATTTTCAAACAAAAATTCTCTCAAAATCATTTTCTTAAATATTTTATATTTTTCTCTCAACTGTCATTTTCTTCATTTTTCCATTTTATTAAGGCCAGAAATTGAAACTATAAAATCCAAAAAAACCTCCAAAATAATTCTTCCCCGTGAATTTTGACCTTTTTCCTTCTCCGTCTCCTTGCAGTCTCTCTTCTTCCGCTTCAGCTTTAAATAATGTCACAACAAACCCTCGCAAACTCCGCCTCACATCGTCAATAGAATTCAGTACATCGTACAGATATTTCTCTTCTACCGTCGTCTCCTCCGCATCTGTGAAGTCGGAATTTTCCACCGTCTACTCTCCCTGTTTGTTTTGGTGCAAATATCATTTAGCCCCGCTCGCTTCAATCCTTCGGAACCTCAGTGCAGGAACTTTAAGCATTTTAGAATCAATTCGGAATCCTCATCAGCAATCCTCTGTTCTGAGCTTCAAACTGTTTTGATGGTAAATTTTTCGAGCATTTTCTTCACAGTTTAGTGCTCTTTAAGCTTCGAAGAAAGCTAGAACATCTAAATTCATCGAAATAAAAGTTTATACTTATGTTCTTGGCGTCTTTGATGTTTAATCTGCTTTGAGTGAGGTGTTTTAGCTGGATCTTATTTTTCGGTTTCTTCTTGTTCTTGTTTACTAACATGTTTTTATGAAGGTTACTTCTAAAATGCAAATAAGTGAAAAAATGCTTTAGCGACTTTCTGGTAGATGTAGATCTGGATGATTAGATTATTGTAGCCTATCATTTTCTGTTCTGTACTCAATTGGATGTTTGCATTTTCAACAAATTTTCTTCCAAGTGCTTAGTTATGGCCTAAGATGGTGTAAAGTGTCGTTTAATTGTTTAATTTGTAATATGGATTTATTTAGGGGTTCAGATTGTAATTTATGGTATTGTTTTTAGGGATTGATGGAGCTAATTCTTGCTTAGCATAGTGACTAATTTGAGAAATTCAGTTTGCCTTAGCGGCATTTCAAGAAATATTTTAAATGTCACTAATATACTAATTTATTTGTTTTTGTGTAGTTTTTTACTGCCACTGCCTGAATTTGGAGCGAAAGCCTTCGTATCTTCATCACTGGCGTATGCATTCATGCATGTAATTATTGAAGTCAAACATATATATTAGGAAAAACAGAGAAAATGTAAAATTTGGTATGTTTTCAGTGGTTCACTATCTTTTTTGTTGATAGGAATTTTATATGAGGAAATTTTATGGAGAATCTGACTAAAGCCAATAATTTGATTTTTTTTTGGGCTCTGCTATAACTTTCTATAATATTCTGGTCAATGTCTTGTCTCATTGTCAGCTTAGTTTTTACTTTTGCCTGCCAAAAGTTTATAATGGAGTATATTTAATTGGGTAGAGTTTGCTTAACCAAGCTTTTAATGCCTTAAAATTTCTTTCTAGGTGAACTGGACTCAATTTATGGGTGTATTAGATTTAGGTGCAAGGATTTTGAGCTTGGTATGTTATGTAACTTTAGCTGAGTCCATGGATCATCTGAACTGAACAAGAGATGCAGGCAGCTGACTTTCAGTTGGAATGAAGAACTTACAGGTTCCTTTTTCTTTTTAATCTATTTCTTTCCTCAGTCACTTAAGTAGTTGCTTTTATCACTGAGTCTCACACTTTCAGGTGACACCACTTTTCACTACTATAAGCTCAAAACTGAATCATGCATTGGTTGCTTTAGATCTCAACTTTGTTTCCTTTCCCCGTTTTCCTTTTTAGCATCTATTGTGCTCTTCTTTTCACAGGATCCTGTGCCTTTTTGGCCCCTCTTTTACATTTATTATTATTTCTCTTTGTATGGTTACATATTAGGGCACTTAATAGTTCAAATAGCCTAACCAGCAGTCTAGCTTCCTGGAAATTGCATATCAAAGGCCCATTAATCACTAGCTTGCATGGCATATATTTGTGCTTATCACTTAAGATAAAGAGCATGTCTTTTGTATTCCAGAGCTCTCAAGAAGTAAAATCCTCTCAAGCTTCACATGAATCACAAAGTGACCACCAGAATAATCAAACAGCAGAGGCTCCCTTAGCTGACTCTGGTTCAGTATCTGCTTCAAGCAATGATAACAGAAAAGTTTCACGCCAAGATATTGAACTTGTAAGGCGCAAATATCTTCTTGGGGTTTATCTATTTGCTGATTTTATTATGTTTTCTTAATGTAATTGTTTGCTTTCATTGATTCTTGAAGTAGCTTACTTACCTATTTATTGCTGGTGATGGAAATTTCTTTGAAATGGTTTTTACAGGTCCAGAATTTAATAGAACGCTGTTTGCAGTTGTATATGAATAGAGATGAGGTGGTCAAAATCCTCTTGACTCGGGCAAGAATAGACCCTGGGTTTACAACATTGGGTAGGCCATTTTACAATCTGTTAATACAATTGTATTTCCTTCATTCATTGTTATTTTTTAAAAGCTGTAATTCTCAGTAATGGCTGCAGTCAGTGAAGTAGAATAGAATATGTTATTACAACAAAACAAAAATCTTTCTACTGCCATATGACCTGAATTTTTAATGTAAGTGGGTGTTTATCCAAAATATTATGTGTTCAACAGCACAACAGCAACATTTGTCTGAATGTCTCTTAATGGCTTTTCTTTGTTCAGTGTGGCAGAAGTTGGAAGAGGAAAATGCTGATTTTTTCAGGGCCTATTACATAAGGCTGAAATTGAAAAAGCAAATTGTTTTGTTCAATAATTTGCTTGAGCATCAATATCATCTCATGAAGTACCCTGTATCTTCTAAGGTTCCCTTGGCCCCAATACAGAACGGGATGCATCCCATGCCTGGTAAGTTATGGGCTTAACACTGGATAATGGAAATGCACTGATTAAAATTTTATAGTAAAGGAATCAATATGGGTTCTCTAGTATATTTTTGGAGAACGCTCAAATGGCTTCTATCAAGCCTGCAAAAGATAAAGGTATTCAATCAAATGAAAGTTGCAAATTTTTATGTGGAGGTGCTTGAATTTTAAACTTAGAGTGTCATACAGTGGCCATGGTATTATTGTATACTTTTGGTTTCAAGGTAAGACATGAGTTAGAGCTATTTAATATATTCCTGGAAAATGCTGACCAAAATCACAAATGGTTAAAATATGAATTTTCATTGCAAGAGTTGGTTTTATGGTTGTTTAGTGCTCTATATCATTGTCATTATTCTTCAGTTCTGGTTATTCAGTGCAGTTAACAATTTGCCAATGGGATACCCTGTGCTGCAACAGCCTCCAGTTCCTGCTCCTGGTCAACCACATCTTGATCCTATGGGTGGTGGAATATCTAGCTGTCATGTTGTCAATGGAGTCCCTGCACCAGGAAATTTCCAACCTATGCGAATGAATTCTGCAAATGAGTGAGGACTTGATCTTTTTTCATTCTCCTAATTGGTTGCGCATTGAATCTCCTCCATTCAGTTATACAATTGTGAAGGCCCCTTTTGCATCAAGCCATCTGTTTATTTATTTCAATTTGATCATATGCAGTTGCTTATTAAACAATTTGATGGCCACAAGTCCTTTTCCCTCTTATCTTACTTCTACAACATCTATGGTTATATTGAGGTTATGGCACTACAATAGAACTCCTATCCAACTCAGTTAATCCAAAACCAGTTGGGGAATTGGGGTTAGCTAAAAAAATCATTTTCCTCTCAGTTTGTTTTAGGGCCATAATCCCTAGATACCTAGTATTCCCTTTGTTGTTTCTACTTCATTCTATTTGATTTTTGCATATGTCTTGTTCTAGCTTTCTTAGCTCCTCTTTGATTTTTTTTTTTCTTTAGTTTCATAGAAGTTAAGCTGATAATAGCTGCTTTTCTTCTTATTGTAGCTTGGTGATGGACAACAATGCAAGTGATGTAGCCCATTCTATTCCCCCTAGCACTGTCATGTCATCTATGTCAGAGATGCCTGTCAGTCCCACCTCAGCGGCATCAGGCGGCCATTTTCCATTCACTGCATCAGACATATCAGGGATGGGAGTGGATACATCTGCACTGGATACAGCCTTTACAACTGACGTGACAAGTTCAGTATGATCACAGCTTGGACCTGATGGTGGGGCTGGAAATTCTAGAGATTCCCTTAGATCACTAGATCAGATTCAGTGGAATTTTAGCCTTACAGATTTAACAGCTGATCTGTCAAACTTGGGAGGTAAGAATTCTGTTATTATTGCAAGGA